GAAGGCTCACTGAAGTTGAACTTTGATGAAAGTAGCATGGGTAATCTAGGATTATCCGGAATGGGGGGTGCTTTGAGAAATGAGAAGGGAGAGATTTTGTTGCTCTACTCAGGTCCCTTGGGAATTGGGGACTCCATCATGGCAGAACTTTTAACTACTGTACAAGGGGTGCAATTTGCAAACCAGTTGGGGGTACAACACCTAACAATCGAGGGGGATTCCAAAGTGGTGGTGGGTTGGTTGAAAAATCCTGAAGAGGCTATGTGGCGTTACAAGAATGAAATGAAGAAATTTAGTTGGTTGACAAGGARTATGTTGGTCACTGTACAGTGGGTGGGGAKATYARHRAATACTTTGTCAGATGTGTTAGCTAAGCAAGGGGTAAATAGGGAATAATTGTTTTGGGCTCAATTGTGATTCTTGCTTATCTTTCCTACTTGTAAGATTCAAGGAGGGGCTACAGCTCGCGCCTCTCCCTGGGATGTTGTATGAACACACTCTAAATCCGCTTCTGAATTAATAAATTTATTATCATTCATAAAAAAAAACTTACTCTACAATTAGTAAAATTAATTTTATAAAAAATTATAAAAAATAAATTTTAAATCATTAATAAAAACAATAAAAAATCGTCAATAGACTTAGAAAACTATATTTTATTAGTTAAAATTGGTACAAACTAATCAAAACATAATTTAATTAAAATAAAAATAGTTTTTWAAATTAACATAATAAAAAACTCTCCCCTTCCTTAATACCTTCTAGATTTTTGTTTTTATTAAAATTTATTAGACAATACATAACCCTAGAATAATGCTAAAATGGATAAGGTTCAGCTTGGGCCAATTGTGAATGTCCTAAGACTCCTGTCTAAATGTCACTTAACAAAGCCTATGCATCACATTCAATAGTAATAAAACTAATAAAATGTAATAGAAATTGTAAAAATTAAGATAAATAATAAAAGTTAACACAAATTTATCTAATGGCATTCATCCCAATAATAGTTTGGGTTGGACTTGGTACCACTTGGCCTGATTGAGAGTCTGAATCTCCTACAAGCAAAAACTCTGCTCACATAACATCTAGCCGCACGTTGGGAACATCTTCTGTACGTGTATGTTAAACTCATTGGGAGGTGTTCCCAATGTGTGGCTGGATTCCCATCCTTTTACAATGTGTGCAGAGTTTTTGCTTGCAGAGAATCCTGTCGCTCCATTTGATATTGTCATAAGGCTCTTGCGACAATTTTGTCAACAACACCTGTGCATCTCACTACCCGACTATATATATATATATATATATATATATATATAATACATTTAAGGTTTAGGCCCATAATCTTTGTCCAGCCCCGGCCCATGTAGGCCTGAAGTTCAGTTCGGGTAAGACCTGAACTTTGGCTTTGGGCCTATGCCTTTATGTATTAAATATTATATATTATCTTATATTATATAACATATATATCATATGTATAACATTTATATATAATAAAATATATTATAAAATAACACACACATATATGTGTAAATATATGCTATATATAATACATGTTGCTGACTGGACCTAAAGTACTTGGCCCAGGCTGGCTCAGAAATTTCTGGGCAGGGCTAGAAATGATTACCCCTAAGCTCAGCCCATGATCACTCTTACTGGTTAGCTATGGTCAAAATAAGTTTGCCAATTTATGGAGAATGAACCTGAAATTTGAGCTCTTTAGCTAGAACTTAAATTTAAGATGTCTTAAATGATACCTAGCCCTAAAATCTCAGAAATGAGAACCAAACACATGGATGTGCAGAAAACCTAATTGGAATAATTTATTGTACTTGATGAATGATGATTTTTTTTTGATATCTTCTGAAGGGCTACACAGCCGGAGACCTTACCAACCAGCTGGTTGGCACCTTGCTTGATGAATGATGATTAGTATAACCTGCCATACAGAATATTATGAAACCTGAACTTCTTTTCTATATTGTGCATACCAAAATCATTGAATTGTCTCTTTTTTCTTCTGGTTCCTTCTACTTTTATACTGGATTCATTTCCTCTTATTTCTTGAGAGAAAAATGATATTTGAATTTTGATCTCTATATCTTTTTAAAAGGTAAGAGAAGCCCTAGGCAGTTGAAGAAGCAGCAGCAGCAGAGGAATAGCATACCCTGTGAAGGCCTATCACCTGGTCACTCGAGGGGACAGCTACCAATAAATCACAAGTCTGATGGTGCAGAGGATAGAGATATACAGAGTCCACATACACCACAACCAGTAATTGATCTGCGATTGGAGGCAAAAATAACAGCCGAGGTTGGTTGCCTTCGACACCATATACAATTTTGAGAAACCAGCAGCACTCTGCATTTTGTTAGATGCAATTACATTCCATGTTTCTTACTTTACTCATTCCGCATTTGTACTAGTCATTCTAATGCATTCTTCTCACCTTTCGCTTTGAAAACTTTATACTTTATTTCTGCCTCAGAGGATAATTTTGCATGCTACTTTTGGAGTTGTCCATTATTGCATGGTTCATGGCAGAAAAATCTTGAATATTTTCTACCTTATTTGTGATCCTCCTTCAATGTTGTTTCTTCTCCATGTAGAATATGGTATCCCTAATTTTCTCCCTCTGATCTTAAAAAATTCTCTAATAATATAAGCTCAATGTTCTCCCAAGGATTAAAGTATCGGTATCGAACAATTTGGATACGGATACAGATACAAATACACTTGGGAAACACATGGATACAAATGTTATATAGATTTTTACAAATTAATACATGGCAAAGTCAATATTATTTTATTATCTATTAAAGTGTAAGGCATAAAGCATATGCAACTATTATATTTGAATTATTATATCATTTTTTTTCTATTTTTATTTTTTAACATTAACAAAAAATTCAACYAAAATTCTTAAATGTTTGATAAATAATATTTATATTTTTGTAAACAATAAATATGTTATTATAAAATGTAAATTAAAATATCAATTAATAATTTGTAAAAATATATGATGTTAACTTAAAATATATCAAATTTATTAAAATTTTGAAAATGCATATCATATGAAAATTCATAAATTTTAATTACTAAAATAATTATTCCATTATTAATATTTTATTTTTATAAAATTTTGAAGTTAAAAATTATTTTTTATATAAAATGTAGATTAAGGAATTTGATAGATTCAATTTATATTAGATTTTCAAATACTTTGTAAACAATACTTTTATTTTTGTAAATAATAAATACGTTGTTCTTTAATGCAAATTAAAATATAAATTAATAATTTATAAAAATTTAAGATACATATATATATATATATATATATATATATACCATATGCAAATTTATAAAATTTAAGTATTAAAATAATTTTTCTATTATGAATATTTTATTTGTATAAATTTTTGAAATTAATATTCATTTTTGATATATATATGTGGATTTTATAAATTATTTATTCCATTGGTTTATAAAATACTAATTTTGAATATTGTTCTTTTTAATTTATAGTTGAAGTCTTTGAAAATAAATGTATGTTGTTTTTTATTTTCATGTAAACAATAAGTTTAATAAAAGTTATTTTAGTACATGTATTAACATGAAATAACAAATGGCTTTGTGGTTAATGTACATGCACGCTTGGGTAGTCGACATTCACTTGGGTTCGAGTCACGCTCCCCCCGTTTTTTTTTTGTGAGACGCTGGTCGATACACTTCTGGCATGTATCGGTTGATACTATATGATACATGCCGCTACGGTGGCGTATCGGACCGATACATCCATATCGGACCGATACGGATGGCCTTGATTGCAAAGCTATGTTCATTGAAAAAACAAGGTGATTGAAGATTTTGATGAAGGGACCAGATGCATTCAACCTACTGTTTGATCAATACCAGATGTATTCAACTTTCCAACTTAGTATTACCACTTTGATAGCTAAGGATAGATTATGGTCATATTGATGGTAAAAAGTATCAAAAGGGCCAAAACACTGTACAGATTACAGAAAGATCAAATGGTCTGTTCAAAATGATTTCATTTGCACCATATACAACTATGCACAATTTGAAACTTCAAAAATAAGGTGATTCCAGTTGTTGTAGAAGTAGTTGAAAATCAAACCCTGGAACCTAATCAATATTGATCATAAGAAGACCAATTGTTCCACTTTGATTGGCAGAGATGAATCCTAAGGCATGGCCCTTATTACTATATATTTTATTGGCTAAGCATCAATAAAAGAGGATTTTACAAGGAGTAATCCATTTTAATCTAAAATGTTTAACAAAATGTGACTAATTCTTTGAGCATCACAATGTTGAAGTAGGTGAGACAACAGCACCCATTTAGTGTTGCATAAAGCACAGGTGGTTTTCTGTATCACTTCCCCTTGAAATTATATGATTTGTGTAAAAGTCTTATCCACATTTGATCCACATGAGAAAAAAAAAGTGTGCTTGGACAATGTCTTAAGTGATGTAATTAAATGCTATTGAAAGCACATATTCTTGCCTCCAATAAGAGTCAATTTTTGACTTTTGAGTGGAAAGAACCCTAGAATTGGGTCCCAAACTCTCTCATCTTCATTGTTTACATTTATCATCACTTGATTTGTTTTGAATTTCGAGCCAAGAGTTCCACAAGTAGATTGACCTGCAATCATTACCATATTTAGGTTTGTTCTTACTCTTTTCTCTTTCTTTCCTTTTTCCCTGTATAGTTTGCTTATGAGATTTGTGAGTTGTGTAGCCCTGGGACTTTTTAACTTGGAGCATGTATGCCTTTGTACTTTTTAATCATGTGATATATAATGTCTGGGATTGCTTGACTTAACCAAACACCTTTAAGGAGTGCTGCATTGACTCTCCTAGACGGATGGAGTGTTCATGTCAGACAATTCCCAACTTTTCATGGCTTCTATAGGGATACTTCCATCTCACATTTTCCTTTCCTTGCTTATTTGACATAAATGAATGGTTAATGCACACAATTAATGCAATTTTTCATATAAAATGTTATTAAGTAACAAATATAAACTTTCAGACATTTTTCTGTAGGTATATATTGTTAGAATTCATAAGATACAGTCGTACAAACTATTTTAACAATTTATACTTTTCTATAAAAGTGCTGGAATCACTGTCTTTTCTTCTTTCTGTGCCATCTCCCCRTGTGTCTGATTCAGGTTCCCGTGTCACTTTCCATATAATTGTTTAAGGGCCAGCATGGAGGATGCTAGGATTTCGAACTTGTAGGGCCTCTTCTAGGTTAGTCCATTGCTCTCTCATTGGCCTGGTGGGAAATTGCTTTCTCTTGGAAGTGGATACAAGAAGCAAATGTGCCATTCAAAGTATCCTTTCTGGATAGCTAATCWTTACAAAATCTTGGTACCACCTTATTTTAGCATCCAAGTTCTTGATACTTGATAGTAATTGAGTCCTATGCGGGTCATTGAATCCTCAAAGGAATTGAACCCATACCTGATGCTGCATTGAAAATTCTCTTATAATATGTGGAAGATCTTTAGAAGCCTCTTCAATTGGATGTTGGTCATTCCCAAAGATCTTCAAATGTTGGTGCCTAGATGATCTCTTAGGGGATTTTGTTCTCATGGAAGGATCTTGTGGAACCTATTTTCATTTTCAGTATGTTGGTGCCTTTGAAAGGAAAAAAGCTGTCAGAGTTTTGATTGGAAGGATTTCCCATTTGAATCAGTTATTGGAAGATTGAATACCTGTTATTTTCTTGGCCTTAGTCTTGAAAGACTTTGGGGGTTCTTCCTCCTTTCTCATGAATAATAATAAAAATATGATCATTACCTATCAAAAAAGAAATAGAAGTTGATTATCCACTTCCTTTTCCCTTTTAAATGACCATAGTGAGTTTTTCTTTTTTTTTTTCCATTTTATGGAGGTGTAACCATCCTCGACATATTGGTATTTATTGGTCATGTTCTATTATATATTTACTTTATTTTGCAGGGGAATATTTTTACTATCCTTTTGTTAACTTTTGTCTTGTCACCAAATATATATATATATATATATATATATTTTGATAATTGGTCTTGTCACCACATATTTATTTGTTTTTATTTATTTACTTATTTATTCCATCTTTTGTTACTCTTTTCTCAGGAAAATGCACGGTTATTTTCTGGAAAGCAAATACATCCATTTTTCTCATCATGGAAAGCAGGTAAAAAATTTCAGGAAAATGTGGATACATCAGTTGTGGAGAGTAAGGGGTGTTGCATTCTGCAAAATGATGAAAGCATTACTTGTGGTCCTATTCATGTGTTTGACATGCTTCAGGTACAGCATTTTTTGTGTTACCTATATATAATGATATTATTATAATCTGATTACTATGACCTATAACCTTATGTAGTTTGCATTATATGGTGAACTCAAAAATTAATATGTTGATTCATCTTCCATGTATGGCTAATATTCTTTTCTTTCTAAATGTGTTTTTGTACAGGATGATCAAGTTTTACTTGATTGGAAAAATTGGACATTTTGTGAGCCCTGTAGCAGTTGTTCTCCTGAACATGAATGCTCATCGGTGTTTGAAGGCTCTATCAAGCCATTAAAGTTTGATAATTTTCTTCCTATTTCGGATTATGGTGGAACATCATTTCTTCAGAATGAGCTACAATTGGATAAATCTATTAATCAAGAAAAAAATATGCCTGCGATGTCAGTGACAATTTCTATATCTGTTAATGGGAAAGTGGCACATTATGAACTGTCAAAGTACTTGGAAGTGGTATACTTGTTGGTGTGTTTTATCTGTATTAGCAGTATATGCATGATTTTACTTACTTATTTATCATTCTCTCTCTCTCTCTTAAGAATTTACTATGATCATATAAACCTTTGTGTGTGATTGTGTCCTTGGATAACAACATTTAGTCCTCCAACATGCATATCTGCAGGCTTATGGAAAGGATGATATTGGGTTCTCCACTGCAAATAATGGTTGTCTCAGTAACTCGGATATGGAACTGCAGAACAAGTCCCTCCAGGGGAGGTTAGTAGTCTCCTGAACTAGTTCATGGTGTTCAGATATGCTTTAGTTTCCCTGTCCTATGGCTATTTTAACATTTGTGTTCCTACAAGTTCTATTTTTTGTTCTCAATAAAATGTTTCCAAAACCTCTTTCTTAAATGGTTGCATTCTTTTGTCATATTTAAAATCTAGAACCTACATTTGTGTCTTATTTGGTTTAAATACACTCAGTGTCTAGCCTTTCAGAGCAAAACATGTTTTTTCTGCCGAAAAATTGTGTTTCCTTTTKATTGACATTAGGATTTGAACTTTATGTTGTTTTAGAAGTCTATTGGTCATGGGTCACTGGTTCAACTGGCTGGATCGAATTGGTCAACCCTTTGTTTTAATACTAAAAATTAAAATTAAGATTTGAGGCCAAAAAGGCATTTTTTGGCAAAAATATAGGGCAAGGCACCTTCAGCCCTTGGGATGCATAGATCACTAAAAGTTACCCAACATCAAAAGAAAAGATCACCCCAATTGGATGATTGAGGCGAACGCAAAATTATGGCCTCTAGAAGTTAGGATAGATGCTAAAAAATGAAGAAAAACCAGCTGGTTTTATCAACCAGGACCAGTTCACTGGTTGGAATGGGTGTTTGGCTGGTTCTTATCACCCCCAGTTTGTAGGGCCTGAATGAACTGGTCGATGGACTGGTTCATGCTTTTCTGGGTTGGACTGGCTGGTTCGGTCTAGTTCTCTGAACACTGCTCCCTACACTGGAAATAAGTGAAAAAAAACAGAAAAAAAGAAAGGTAAAAAATACATTAGCACCAACCTGACATACCCTTCCTGAATTGGTATATCTTCCCAGAGAACTTTTTGAAGTTGTCTTGGGTTAGTCTGTTGGGTACAACTTGTCTTGGGTTAGTCTGTTGGGTACGGTTGTGTTGATTGAAGTTTGAGTTAGGCTTACTCCAACATGAGCACATGACCTGACCTGAGCAGACATGTGTTCATATGTATGTATGAATGCATGTTTGTATGCGTCCATGATTATATGTATTAACAATGTTAGGTTTTCCAAGTGTAGTATAAGTATAGTACTCCTAAAGCACCATAAATTTGTTCTTGTACATGTAATAATGCTAAAACCAGTCTCTTAAATGCTAAAACCAGTGGATTGCTTTCATCAGTTTTCTTTTAATGATATTTGGAGAAACTGGGCTACGGTGGCCAATGGCAGCTCCAAGAAGGATAGGGCAAGTTTAACTTGGGCACCACCTCTGGAAACTTTTTTCAAGTTGAGTTTTGATGGTAATAGTCATGGCAACCCAGGCCCCTCTGGAGTAGGAGGGGTGGTGAGAGGCAAGGATGGTATTATTTTGGCACTTTTCTTGGGACTGGTGGGGGAAGGAGATTCTACAAGGACTGAACTGCTTGCTGCACTACAAGGAATCCATATTGCAAATCAGCTAATGTTGTTCATTCATTAATCATAACATAGTTTTCATGGCGCCAACACGAGGGTAGGTAATAGGGGGCGCCTTGTTGCCTAGTTGCCTAGGCGCCTACCTAATGGATTTTTTTTTAAGTAAATCCTAGGGTAGGTTCCATAACCGTATTTCCTTAATAATTATCCATGATTTTCATAAGAAAAGTATACAATTCATGTTAAAGTATAGAAAATCAACATATTCATGAGAAGAAAAAGAAGAAAAGAAAATTCAAAAAATATAGGGCTGAACCCCTATTTTTGTTATAGAAAAATAGAAAAGAAAAGATGAAAGATGTGTTGATTAGACAAAATTTTAAGTTATTCCTTATTGGTTCAGGTTTTGAAGTCTTTGAGGGTTCAATACAACAGTTAGCAATGTTTATGTTGATTAAACCCTAACAAATAAGAAAATAATAAAAAGGAATTAATATATAAACAGACAAAATGAATATTTTAGTTTAATAATGTCTATTTCATAATTCATTTATAAAAAATGTCTATTTTATAATTATAATCTTAAAAAATTAAGAATATAAAAATATTTTTTAACACAACATACAAAATTGCTTGGCGATTAGGCGAGGCAAGCCTCCAAAGGTGCCTTGTTGCCTTGACAACTATGAATCCTAATAAAGTATCTTCTTAAAAAGCAGTTAAAATTATAAAATCATTATTTTTTGTGTGAGGATTAAGAATTTAAGACCCTAACATGGACTTGTTTGGGCTTGCCTCGAGGGGCTTCGTACAAAGGTGGCTCATTGAGTCTGATTTGGTAAGCAATTGGAAAGAGATAGCCACCTCTGCCCTATGTAAGAGGACTTGTAGCCCTTCTTGGACCCCTCCTCCCTCTGGGTTCATAAAACTGAATATTGATGGTAGTTGCTTAAGGAAACTGGACTCTATAGTGTGGTGTTTTAAGAATGAAATTAAAAAACTCAACTGCTTGACAAGGAGCTTGACAGTGAGAATACAATGGGTGGGGAGATCTGCAAACTCTATGGCTGATGGTCTTGCAAAGCAAGGGGTAAACAGGGAAAGCTTATATTGKGCTCAATTGTAGATTTAATCTGTTTCCTGTTTTCTGGTTTCTGTTTTCTGTTTTCTGGTATCTGTTTTCTGTTATCTGTTTTCTTTTGTCTTTCTTCCTGCTATTAGGAGAGGACACAGCTCGTGCCTCTCCATGGGAAGCTTGTAATTGCATTAATTCTCTATTAATGAATTTTATGTCTTTACTCATAAAAAATGGTAGTTGCTTAAGGAATTCAGGGCCTTCTGGGATTGGGGGAGTGTTCAGGAGTGAGGATGGGGTTATTACTGCCATGTTCTCAGGCCCAATTGGAGAAGGGAGACTCTCTTAGGGTCTGAGATTCTTGCAGCCCTGGAAGGTATCCAAAGAGTGAAAGATTTGAACATCAGATGTTTGGTCCTTGAAGGTGACTCGGAGGTGGTGATTAGGTGGCTAAAAGAAGAAGACAGTGGTCTGTGGAGGTATAACAATGAGAGGAAAAAATTCTAATGGCTGAGTAGGGGTTTGGTAATGCAATACAGCTGGGTGAAAAGGACTGCTAACTCAGTTGCTGATGGGTTAGCCAAGCAAGGGGTGAATAGGGAATCTATATTTTGGGTTAATTTTTAACTTTCTTCCAATGTATTCTGTTGGTGTGGAGTTAAGACATTTTACCTCCCCACTCTTGTTGTACTTAAAGTTTCACATAGTTTCACATCATTAATAAAGTTTCTTGTTACTGATAAAGAAAAAAGGTGGCTCATAGAGTCAGGTATGCAAGATGTTTTACATCACATTAGCTATTTGAAGTAATGCAATTGAAGAAAAAAAGAGATTGTGAATTTTACATGCTTGAAAATGTATTTTATGTTTGATTTTATTTTTAATATTTCATTTGAATATGCTTTACATGTTATGTTTATGTATTTTAATTTTAGATAATAGGTTTTTTAAAACATTTATTTTAAAGTTTATGTTTATATTTTTTATTTAATATTGTTTGATTTTTTTTGAAAAATTTGGCATTTTTTGTATTTTTACGCTTTGCTTCAAAAAGGTGCGCGCCTTGTGCCTGAAATTGCCYCACACTTTTTTTTTTGCACCATGCGCTTTTAAAACACTGCACCTGGAGACCCTTTTTCACTTTCTTCTTGTTCTCTTCTGTAGAAGACAGCCTTCTCTATCTTTTACCTTTCTTTTTCTTCTCTTTTCCACCTTTATTCTCAAGTTGTAAGATGGTATCAAAGTAGTGAACTCAACTGTCACTGCTCACACGTCCTTTTTGCGCTTTAGGAGTTGAGAACTCTTTCTTTTTGAGACAAACAACAGAAAGGGACTTAAAAAGACTGGTCGTCCCTTAGGTAAAGAGGTTTTAGTGCCATGAGTTGGTTGGTTTAAGGTGCTTTTGATGGTGTACTAAGCCCTTCTTTGCTACTGCCCTAGACGTAAGTACAAGTATGTGTATTGAGTGTAGTTATTTTTTGATAGTGTTTGGTGTTTAGTTTGGTGTGTTGTGGTTTGGGAACTTATTTCCTATGGTGCGTGAAGTGTTTGATATCCTACAAGTGCTCATCTGAGATTTTTTCTTGGTCTCTAGGGCTACAAACCACTGTAGCAAGGTACTGTAATAACCTTTTTGGGCTTAACGTTGTTGTAGTGCCTATTTCCTCTTGTTGTTGGTGATCATAGTTGTTGCTTCTTGCTGATTGTTGTCTTATCCTCCTTATGGCTACCTCTAGTAGTAGCTCCTAGTCTGCTGTAGTAGTGCAATCTGATTTTATCAACACTTAGTTAACTACTATTAAGATCAATGGTACTAAGTATGTACCATGGGCCAAATTTGTGGAAAATTCCTTAATTGCAAGAGGATAGTTGAAATATGTTAAGGAAGATCATCCCAAGAGTGGGTATGAGGGGTACAGTGAATGGGTATAGAAAAATTCTCAGATTGTGACTGCCTTATGGAATAGTATGGAAAACAACATTAGTGTTAATCTCATTCTCATGTTTCTGGACATGACAAAAGAAATTTGGGAACATGCCCGATAGCTGTATTACCGGGCAGGACAATGTGGCGAGGATCTATCAACTATATCAAGATCATTTTTCTCTTCAACAAGGTAATAAGAGTGTAGAGGAGTATTATGCTACCTTGGAAAATCTACGGAATGAGTTGAATGTTTATCAGCTTCTCACCATGATAGAGTAGTGAATTGCTTGTGTACTCTCTACCAAAAAAAAGGAATTGTTTGTGTACATCCTTTAATTCATTTTCACCATCTTACCCCAAACCCACATCTCTCCAATATGTCATCTAGGTATGACTGGCCCACATGATCACATGCCTTCTCCACATCTAATTTGCATACCCAACCTCTCCTGTCAGTTCTCGTCTCTGTCACACATTTATTGGGTGTGCTGTTCCATTTTTTCCTTTACTTAATTAGGTGTCTGTCATACTTTATCTACTTCTTTCTGTTCTACATAGTCCTTTTTAAAGGTTGTACCAGTTGTTATTCTTGAACAAGAAGCTGTTTCCATTCTAATTTTACAATTGTTTTTTTTTTTTTTTGGTTATATTGTTGCATACACAGGATGGCATCATACTACCTGGATTGTGGCAAACTGCCTGATGGTAATTTATGGACAACTAAGTACCAGCCAAGAAAGGCTGCTGAGGTCACATCAGATCCTAGATTTACTTTTTCTTTTGTTTATTGTGTTTAAGCATATAACAAAATGTAACATTATGATAGTTTTTTCCTCTTTTGGTCAAACAGGTATGTGGAAATAGTGAATCTGTAAAGTTTCTTAGTGAATGGCTGCATTTGTGGCATGAAAGAGATCTTCAAACCAATAAAACTTCTACTAGTCAAGATGAATGTTCTAGTAAAGACAGTGATCATGGCTGGTTTGAAGATGATTCGGATACTGAATCCATGGAAGAAGGCGATGCTCTCAAAAATGTTCTTTTAGTTCTGGGACCAGTTGGGGTAATGTTTTTAGTTGTGTACTTCTATTTGAAGAAAATTAGAGTTACTGCATTTTCAATGATATCTATTTAAAATTGATAAATGTGTTCTGGTTTTAATTGCCTTCACCAATGCATTCTATATAGACTGGATTCTGTTGAATTTTATTTATTTTTGTTGAACAWATAATATTACATTAAACAAAAAGATGGACAAAGTTCAATTCAAATTTAACAAGATAAGAGGATAATATAAACAAAACAACTCCAAGTATCTTATTTCATTCTTAGGTTCACTAACCATTTCTTTCTTTTTTCTGTTTTTTTTTTTTCCTGATTGACAACTAGCAAAGTACCTTGTTATAACTTTTTTTAGAAAGAATGCAATAAAATAAGTATGCTCATCACCCTTTTTAACCACTAGCCTCAGATGGCCCTATCTGTACACAATTACAATAAATACAATTAAAATACCGCTTCTTAGGCATATCAATCCCCAAAATGAATGATTTCTAGTTGCTCCCCCTTTTGCCAGCCCATCAGAATTGGGAAACCTTGGGGTCCACCTATAAACCACTTGCAACTCTTCAATCAGCTGACTGTTTCTTCCAAGATTCCTTCCCGCTTTGATACAAGTTGTAAGAATGTGGGAGGAAGAGAAGAAGAGGAAGAAGAGGAGAGAAGAAGAGAGTTACGGGTGAAGAGGGTGTGTTACTGTTCACACCCAAAAGGTCTTTTTCTATCAAAGAAGAAATATTAAATTTGTTCCCCTATATGAGCACCCAAATACAAATAGGATGGAAAGACACTAATGCCCTTGGCCAAATGCATATTCTTGACACTCCCCCTCAAGCTGAGCATAGATATCTATCATGCCCAACTTGCTTAGGCTTCTATCATGTTTCAGCTTGTGGAGACCCTTGGTAGACAATTAGCAAGTTGATATTTTGACTTGACAAAAGGCACACATATTTCTCTATGAAGGGATGGGATATCCATCACATGGACGCCCAAGTCTTGCGGAATTGACTGGGCGAATTTCAAAAATTTTCTCCCATCTTTGCAGGGAATCGAATTCCCTATTTTAGAAAAACATATTTTTCAAGGATCAATCTTGAACCATGAACCAAACCAGATCTGAACCAAAAGGARWRGGAGRGAKGATRTACCTGATACGGAGAAACAGTATCTCCCAATGGAGGTGTTCACGCCCAAGGAAGGATCCAAAGTATGCTCCCACTGAAGATGGCGCAGTGCAGGGTGAAGCATAATCAACAATGTTCTTCCAAAAGAACTTGACCCTTCGCAAGAATCAACTGGATGGCTTGTGAGTACAGCTCTAATCAATCTTTTCCCAAAAGATTGGTATCAAGATCAGATCTTGATTTCTCCCAAGAACTAGAGATCGAGCTAAAGGTAATGGYGGCGGCAGTAAGGAGGCGGCAAGAGTATTTGCAGGGTGCAGAATTCTCTCTTTTTGTGTTTTTAACTCTGAAGAGAATTGAACATCAATCCAAAAAGGTTGCCGCCCCTTTCTCCTTTCATAATCTTAAAGGGATCAGTTCCTAATTCTATTAGGAGTTGCTGATCCAAATCATATTTGGATTAGAAGTCTCTTTAAGTGATAAGGGATAACCCTTATCTTATCTGCAGATCAGATCAGCCATCTCCTAATCCAATTAGGAGGCTTCCAGATCTAAATCT